AAATCTGCAGTACTTCATACCATTAATATCTTATATAGATCGATAAAATAATGCCCAATGGCGGAGTAGTCATTAGGCTTGAATTAATTAGAACATGCTTCCGGCCATATCACGTTGATATCATCGAAGTTAAGCAATGTCGAGCCAGGTCAGTACTTAGATGAGTGACCACTCAATGATACCAAGTGTTGTATGCTTGAATGTCTGATATGCGGGTGGCGTAATGGATGACGGCTCAGACTGAGAAATTGGAGAGCCGAGTTCGAATTCCAGTCGGGTTCGTTACATTCAGTTACGCGCAAATACCCTTCGACAATCATGAATCGAAAAGAGACATGACCGCCCAAGTGTGTCACATCAGTCCCTACTAGCACTAGAGTAATGGCACATCACATGATCTTGTATTTCAGTCTACGTCCAACAAAGGATTTTCACAGGCAGTGATATAAGATACAAAAAAATAGTATATGAATAGATTGGTAAGTAAATAGTTATTCTTCCATTTTTTTCATTCCTGCCTCAAGACCCAGATAATAGCGAGGAAAATTTCCAGACAGTTGGAAAGTTGTTAAAAGCTGAGTACAATTAGCCTTACGGAAAAATATACGTCAAGCTAGTATAGATTTCAGTGCAGTCTAGATTCCTTTGGTGAAGAAGTAAAGACGTATATTAAATACAGAATCGTCTGCATCACTCGTGTTGTTGTGGGGCTTGGCTCAATCGGTTGTTCTGGTCAGTAACTTTTCCGTTATTCTTTTTTTTTTGCTAGGCAGTACCGAGAAAAAGATAGAATATTTTATTTCTATATGTATTGTATAGCTGAGGAAGACTAAAATAAACCAGCCGAAACGTTATGATAACAAAAAATAACAATAAAAAAAAACAATAAAAAGAATAGGATCATTATATTACTTTCTCGATTATCCGGAAATATTTAGAAAAAGGTTGAAAAATATATTCGAATAATGGAAAAATAACGGATAATTGAATACCGAAAAAGAATGAAGAAAAATGTCATTTAATATTTTATATCAACAAATAACATTTTTCAAAAGCTTCTTTCAAAGTTTTACCTAGTTTTTGTTTGTATTTAACTCCCTAAACTGGATTAAATCAAATATATTTGCATGGGTAGATTCTGGTTGAAAACGCAGCCAACTTAAATATTTGTGAAGCATAAATCATTCGAAATTGAAATTTTGAACACTGAGACTTGTTTGTTAAATTCTCAAAACGCTTGATTGAGATGAAAATTGAATAATGAAAATAACTGATAAATGTTCGGATAATTTCAATTTTTTCTATTCATTTCCCGTCGAAGTTTGGAATATTGAGACACGGATAATCGAGGAATTACTGCATTCTGAAAAACCTAAAAAAAAAAACCAAAAAAAAAAAAAAAAAACCTTGAAAATAACTAATTTCAGACTTATAGAATGTATCTACACATAAATGCATTCGTAAATACATTATATGCCCACACCTGGTTGAAGGTCAGTGTGTATTCATACATTAACATAGGAACATATCAACAGATAGACGAATGAGTGAGTGAAGGAAAGAAAGAACCATTTATGGGACATTGGCAATGCATTCTGGGAGTAAGCAATTCCAATTAAAAAAATATCACTCATAATAAACAATACATATTGAAAATATTAACATGTAGAAAATAGAAATTATTTTCGCCCTAAGAAAAGTTCGTTTTTACAGTATATACTCCGAGAATCTGGTCGAATTAACCGTTTAAACTGATTATCAGATGTCATAGGTCACAGGGGTCAGAGCGATTACGTAGTAACAGGTGAATTCCCCACACCTTACACCTTATATACCTAACTTTTTTTTTTAAAGTATAGCTGTATTGAAACAATTTTTTCTTGTTTGGTTTTACTGAATGAAACACACACACACACACACACACACACACACACACACACACACACACACACACACACACACACACACACACACATATATATATAAATTAATTAAATAAATAAGAAAGAGACAACCTTAGGTTTTCATGACTATAATTTATTTCCCCAGACAGATATATTTTTCCTAGTTCATCAGGTTACACTTCTAAAGTCATCGTAACTGAAGGATTGAGCGTACTAGTTTTGTTCAAACTGCTGATCAAGCCAGATTATAGGCTTACTCTTTCTCTGTCTCAGAAACAGTAACTAAGGTATGGTTTGTATAGTTGCGCATGAATCAAACGTTCGTTCTGTTAGTGTTAAACAGTGCCTGAGCAGGCGTCTGCAATAGGGATTAACTAAGCAACCTAGTAGAAAATTCTCGGGAGACTTACGGGTGCCTATTTATCATCTCTCTCTCTCTCACACACACACACACACATTCTCTCTATTTATACACACACACACACACACACACACATATATATATATATAACTATTTATTCGAAAATTATAACATAAATATATTATTAAAATCACTACAAAAATAGACATTTTGTTTCAACACTTCTGGTGTCTTTTCAAGTAATGGTGTTTTAAACAAAATGGCTATTTTTGTAGTGATTTTATAACATATTTATGTTATGTTTATAATTTTTAAATAAAAAATTACATTTGCTCTACTCTGTATTGAGCACACTTTTAAGAATAGTATTTGTTGGTTATTTATTCCGTATACACCAATCCAATACTTGGCCATATATATATATATATATATATATATGAAAAAATAAGTCAGTTACCAAAAGTGCAGGAGAGAACATACAAAAATAGATAGGTAGAATCGAAAGGTAATTGTCAGGAATAAGGTAAGTTGTTAAAAATGATAAAATATTTTCCGTGGATGTACGCATGCATTTACGTTAGTAAGTGCAAGACCATTGTTATGAGCTGACAATATATTCCGATAGAATATTTACGGTAAGTTCTTTCATATTTAGGAATGTTGTTCATATCTACACAGCAGTCTTCATGAAATAATAAGGCTATATCTTTTAGACGTTAATTTTTGGCGCGAGGTAAGCCAATTGGTATAACCATATTCATTAATTCTCTCCACCCCACGTAATAAATTCTCTATCGTATGTAGTTTCACACATACACAAGCACATATACACACACACATATACATACGCATATCTATATCTACCTATATATATAAATATATAAAACATATATATTTCAAAACAGATATACAGTATATATATATATATATATATATATATAAAGAATCCATATAAAATGATATAAGTGTACGTAACAATCTAGCATGTTAATAATATGAATGCTTAAAGTATTGGAGGAATCTTTTAGTTTTTGTTGTTGGGTATATATATATATATATTGCCTGATTATTGCTTAAAGTGTGTAACTGTTAGTCACCATGTAATGTTCATATCTATATCCTGAGGATTTATAGCAACATAAACTATATCCTCGATAAATGTTCAAATTCTGAAGATAAAATGGGGTGCTGAAATATCTATTATTTCTTAGATGTACAATGGAGTGCTGAAAAATTCTCGTACAGACATATTTCTCGCAATATCAATATTTCAATGTCCAAAGATCCAAACTTATTTTAGGTTGCAGGGAATTTTTCAGCAGCACTCGTATATATATATATATATATATATATATATATATATATATATTATCATTATTATTATTATTAGTAGTAGTAGTAGTAATCTTATAAGTATAAGAAACTATACTCGTTCGGAAAACCTTAGGTGTCTTGATTTGCGAATATTCAAACCAAGACCAAAGGGGAAAAAAAAGGTATAAAAAAAGAAAGAACCAAGAATATATACGTTAGCCGAAAATAATCGTCTAGCATGCAAGTCCAAAGCCCAAAGGGAAAAAAAACCGATACGAGTACGCAAAATAACTAAATAAAGTGCTCAATACGATAGGTAGAGCAGACCTAGTTATCTCACTAACTAACTAACTAACTAACTATATATATATATATATATATATATATATATATATATATATATATACTTTTCAAAGAGTTGCAAATTTATATTAAGGAATTAATAAGAATAAAATTATCAACTATCTTGTGCATAAATTAACACTTAACTGAATGATTTGAATTTCACATTTTGATGTTCTTGCGCCATTTCTTTCTTTCTTATTCCAGTTTGTCGCGCAATATTTTTCTCTATGTAGCCAGACGGACCAGAGGTGACCTCGGACACTACGTGTCCTATCAAAAGAGTTGCTTCCATAACAACAGCTGACCTCACTTTACGCTCTTCGCCTGACAAATGCTGCTGCACCGGTTTTTATTTCTACGAGTGTCTCTAGGACATTAGAAAAAAAAAATTCGTTTGAAAATAAAATAATCAAACAAATCAGTGAAGAAATAAATAAATAGAAACTCACAAGAATAATAGTAATCAAGATATATTAATAGCTGATGTTACCCTACAAAAGCAGCTACAAAATGATTTCCTGGTTTACACTGTTCTGACATAAGGCAGTTTTAAACAAATAACTCAATGACGGCCACAGATGGTTTGTAAATTAAAAAAAAAAAAGAAATTAAATTCAAGTTCAAACACACCTGACAATAATAAATGTGAACATCGTTGTAGGACAACTTGGAATGTTCCCAGAGCCTAGCAAAGAACCTTGAAAAAGTAGAAAATGGAAATCAGATGTTGCATTGAAACGATCTGTGCAATACTAAACATTAGAATACTGAGAAGAGTAGTGAATTAGGGAACTGTGGATTTGCTGCCACTTGATCTCTTCATAAACCACAAATGATTAATAGGAAGAAATAATAGTAGTATTAGTAGTAGTAAATTTGGTTGGTTGACTTTTATGACAACCCTTGGGTCATTTAATGTCGAAATCAGTATTTTTTAAAAAATTATATTTGAGCATTTATTTGTTAGGTGGCCGCTTCTGAGGGAGAGTCTTACCGCTAAGCAGGGTGGAGTGGGTATTCAGCGAATTCTAGACTTCGCCAACAGTACAAACAATAAAATAGATATAGATTTGAACAAGCTGAAATAGATAGATAGATAGATAGATAGATAGATAGATAGATAGATGCTAACAGACTGAGATAGATAGATAGATAGATAGATAGATAGATAGATAGATAGATAGATCTGAAAAGATTGGCATAGAGAGATCTGAAGAGATTTGCATAGATTGATCGATCGATAGATAGATATGAATAGACTGGTGTGTGTATATATATATATATATATATATATATATATATATATATATGTATATATATATATATATATATATATATATATATATATATATATATATATATAGAGATCTGAAAAGACTGGCATAGATCTGAAGAGACTAATATAGATCTGAAGAGACTAACATAGATCTGAAGATTGATCTGAAGATACTGGCATAGATAGATAGATAGATAGATAGATAGATAGATAGATAGATAGATAGATAGCGATGACTGTCATAGTGGTAGCAGCTGTCGAGGTCAAATCAATATCATCATTCTCATCATCTAACATTATTAATGATGATGACAACCAGAAAAAAGATGACCGTTCAGTAATTAATACTGTAATTACAGAAAGGTTATTGGCTTAAGAGGAATTATTATCAGCGCCATTATTTTTCAAGTAGACGATATCAGAAAAGAAACAAATCGGATCCTCTCTCGGGAAGATGGAGCGGAAAACCGTAAAAAGTGAAAGGACAAAAAAGTCGATAAGCAATATTGCCGAATCAAGCAGCTTATTCTATGCTAGAGAAACGTTACTGAAACATTTGATGAGAGGAAAAAAAAAAACAACTCGAAAACCAGTAAGGACACAAAAGCTGATTGTGAGATATGATTACAGCAAAAAATATGCATGTTCACGTCAGGTGTCTGCAGTTTTATCGTTTGGGATTGAGTGACTGCAATTCTTCACAAATATCTGGTGTTTTTTTTTCTCATTATCGTCGAAGAGGCTAACTGTTTAATGAACATTTAGTGCAACGATTATCGACCCAGATAGTGGATTCAGCTATCCAAATTCATTTCGTCCTAATGTCTCTTCAGCTATGGGCTAAATAGCAGGGTAAATTGGATTAGAGACCTGGGTAGCAGCCAGTGTACTAGGAAGACAACTCTGATTTCAAAACGGTTGAGAAGGCAATAGAAAATTATCTTTAACCCAAAATCGTGACAATTTACGCATAGGAAAACTTGGAGAGCCGTCATTGTCTGAAAGGACATTGTTTAAAACAAAACTAGCCTTTAAAGCTCTTAGCTTAGTTCCAAGTACGCATAACTCTTAATATTCCATTTTCTGAGGTCCTGATATTTTCCGAATTTTTCGCTTTTTTTATTTTTTTATTCTTTTGTCTGTTGACACAGCCACATGTGCCATCTGACGCCTTCTCCGTCACTTTATTGTTTATGAATATTAAATTCTATTTTCTCTTCTCGGTCTGAAGTCGTAGAGAGCCTTTTTTAACTTCTCAGAAAGCCTCTGATTTGTATTAAATCTAAGAAATTGAGATATAGTTTATATCATTAACTCCATATCGTTGGCAAAATTATTATTATTGAATAGAAGCGAATTAAGCCAACAAAGTAACGTTGGGGTACAAATATATTCTACAATGTGCCCATAATGGCATCCCGCGTGGTCAGGATATCCAAGCACATGCATCACCGGTAAATGTATACAATATGGTGACACTTGCAGGTGGTTCTATGCTTTCCAGTAATTATTACTCAGTTATGTGCCATGAGACACACTTAGGCGATCATGTATTTTTCGATACATGACTGATGAGGCAGATTTTTCCCTGCAGTAGTTTGCCATCTCTTTCTGCTCCAAGACTATAGAAGCCAGTCTGCTATTTATCCATAGCTGGTAGTAGAAGAAGAGGATTCATACATTTCCCAAGTCTATTAGCACGTAAGTGAATGTAATGGAATTCGAACTCGGCTCTCTGATTCCTCAATACGCGCTGTTATCCATTACTCCACCTTACTTATTATTACTGTAATTATTAAAATAATGAAAGATTTATTTCTTTATTTTAAAGACGGTAGTCGTAATAATGACAGGAATAACACCAAGTCATTAATAATAATAATAATAATAATAATAATAATAATATTTGAAGCATAAGAATCAACGGTGTTGTCGCAGACATAATATATATTATAACGCTAATATCAGTGATTATAATAATGAGAATACAGACGATATTAATATTTGCAATAATATTTGCTTATTATTATTGTATCGGGGGAAGAAGGCTTTTCACAAAAGGTTTTGTCTTTTTGAAAATGTTTCTTGGCTTTTTATTTCTGCCATAATGATTCACGTAGTTTCCGGTATCATATTCCAGGTTTTCGAAATATTTATCTCTTCTTTTTTTTATCCCATTAATTTTTTTTTTTAAGTTATAGCTTGTTAGGGAAAACCACATTTCTTTGAGCTTATTCCTCACGAGGATTTGCATTTATTGGCAATGAAAAGAATTACACCCAGGAGATAAGTATTCCATCGCCCCTTGTCAGCCTAAGCAAAGAAGTATTCTATTAGGCTGAACTTAAAACATTTTTTTGTAATATTCATTTTTTTTTCTGCATTGTGGCTTTTAGAATGAGAGACAGAAGAGGAAGTAGGCGAGGTCTAGGGTCAGGATTGGGTTTGTGCGTAGCTAATAGCTAATATTCGATTTTTATCTAATACGTGATGTGATTTAAAACGTTTAGAACTGTTGGTATAAAGCAGTTTAATTCATTTACAGTTTAACTACAGTTTTCAGACGCCATATATACATATATACATATATATATATATATATATATATATATATATATATGTGTGTGTGTGTGTGTGTGTGTGTGTGTGTGTGTGTGTGTATGTGTGTGTGTTTGTGTGTGTGTGTGTGTGTGTATTTAGGCAGCAGATTCTCTTTTAGGCATGTCTGATTAAATAAATTAAAGACATTATGTCTGCTTATTTTTAACATAATCCGTTCATACCCACGGATAACCTTCCGTGTATTGCAATTAAATGATGTGAGAAATGTGCTGTAACTGTGAAAATCGTTTTTATTTCCCAAGTACTTTCGATCTTCTTCCGAGACCATCTTCAGAGTTGCAAGTAGTAATACAAAACTATGTGTTGCTATCCATTACTGTATTTTTTTTCTTTTTGCTTTTAACATAGAATAAAAATTCTATAGTGGATAATTATTTTAACGTTCTAATAAACACTAAACATGACTGCCAACCGTTGCATTTAAAAGGAAAAAGAAATAGAGTAACGGATAGCAGCACACAGCTTTGTATAAAACAGTCATTGAAAACAAATATATCAACATTCGTAAGTACTCGGAAAAAATAAAAATGAGCTTTCAATATCAGAGACAGAGCGTGTGTAAATATAAAATGTTCTCTGAGGTCAACACCGACTGGCGACAGTTTGTTTCATGGTTGAACGCCATCATCACGTCATGTGTGTTGCGTCGTAGTACAACTGGACAATGTGGCATTCTGGGTAGCAAGGTGAAGCATTTCCGGTTTATGGTATTATCCTAAATGTTATTGGGTAGGTGGCAACGGTTTTAAAATTATTTTAAAGATTATTGAGTAGAAATAATTGTGGATCAGAATGCAGTTATATGTGACTACTGCATAAAGTTTGTAAACTTAACTCATTATTGATTATGGCATTTTGTATTTCCTCATTACTTGCTATTGATTATTATTATTAAATTTACTTACTTGTGGTTATTTGTACATTAGTAGTTTGTTAATTTATAATTTATTTACTTAATAATATAGATATAGATATATATCTTCAAGGAATCTATTTTCTTGAAAATTTGCTTTAAAAGAAAAAATTATAACTTTCAACCGACAGTAGTTTGGCTGTTCGGTCAAGAAATACCAAATATTTCCTTATAAGGAAACGGCTAATGTCACCATTATTATTACCATAATTTTAATTGTGCCTTGCTTCACCGTGACATTTTGAGCGGTCTAAAACGATGCCGGACTATACAGTGGTTTCCCCTACATGAAGGGACTCAGCTACGAACTCTGCCGGCGAACAAATTCTCTCTATGAAAGGCCCTCAAAAACCCAGAACGTTTAGCCACTAAATATGGCACTTATTGTAGTGATATATCTATGGGAGGAGGGTAAAATTATATTATGTAGAATAGTGATTAAACACAACTTTTAAAAAAATAGTAGTTAAAAATGGAACGTTAAATAAGTTACAATCGTAAGTATTTCTCCATATTGAATAAGCACTTCGCTGCCAACAATGAATTTGATAAAAGTTTTAACAGAAATACAGTACATATAAGTTATTGTTGCATGCCCAGATTATTAAAGCGTGCAAGAAAAAAAAAAAAAAAATTAAACCAATTGCCGATATGCCGAATTGTAACTGAAAGAAAAGGGAAAATTTCCTCCCTCATTGAACCTGATTAACGAATAATATCATATATAAAGGCAGAGATTAAATTTATGAACCTTCTCACTATGACATATATTAGTTTAACAGAATACCAATTTAAACTGCGGTACTACAGTCGCAAATATCCTTGAGCCTGACAAAGTATCGTAACAACAACACCATATCCGAATACGTTTTGGAATTGAAAGAAAAGAAAGATTTGAGACTGAATATAGAGGAGAAAGGTCGAAGCTATAGTGGAAGAACGCAAATTTGTAGCTTAAGAAAATTGGTAAAAACTCGGTGACGTTCACAGAATAGTGCTTCATTGTCATTCGTTTGCTTGTCAGATGGCTAGATGGTTCGTTGGATGAATGATAATATTAATGTTCCCAAACACTGCCCAGTTATTAAATAAAGACATGAAATACTTTTGGGATGTATACACGTTAAAATGTATATAGTCAACATTGCATGGTGACTGTCAGTTGCACGATTCAATTCGATCTTCACAACAATGCAGGCAGAGAGAGAGAGAGAGAGAGAGAGAGAGAGAGAGAGAGAGAGAGAGAGAAATCTCCATTATACAAACACTCACGCCAGCACTCAGACCTTTCATAAGGTTCTTCCGACATGGGGACTAATGAAGCTTAATCCTGTCTAGCGGTTGAAACCAAAGTTTACCTTCTTCTTTATTGGTTTCCCTACTTTCTTGTTGTGTGCCGTGTCCTTTGAGGACGTAGGCGATCATGGCTCTCTATTTTCCCCTATCCCTTGTAACTCTCAATAAATCTTGTGCCTCTGCCAACTCCCCCAGACTATTTGCTTAAGCCTGCCAGGTATGTCATGTGTTGCTTTCCCTTGTCTCTTTTGCCCCCTCTATTCGACCTGTGAGTGTTAGATACTTAAGCTAAAAATCCAATCTACCCAAACTAAGAGAAAGAACAGAATAATTCATCATTAGAATGACTCCAGCAGCCACAGATGGATTTTGAATTCGACCATGGCACCATCCATACAAGGTGGATTATATAAAATCAGTTTAGTCAATTTGACCCTGACATGGCTTCTACCCTTTTTTTATACAT